ATCCCCTCACATCTTGACATGGACTGAAATTTCACACGCCTTAAAGTCCCAACTTACTCGTCCAGCGAAAGTGTTCCAGCTGTTGTAGGCAACACACAAAAGACGCTGAAAAGAGCGAAAAGCCGTCTTAATTTGATCGCCATGTTCAAAAGAGCCTCGCGTAGATTATTTATCCAAATTTAAATTCCAGGTCTGCTTTGCGAGGAGAGTGCGTCTTATTAACATAGTGTTTGGGCTTCGCTGGCTGCCATAAATGCTTCCCAGAGACAAATAAGGAGAAAAAGTCATTCAATTGTAACGAATATTTTTTCATATGGCAGGTGTGTGAGGAAACGCCATTGGCACTGCATTGGTGGAAAAAGTGTAGGGCAAAATTAGCATTTGAAGATTGCCATGAAACCATATGGCACCGTAAATATCTGCCGAAAAGGAAGAAGAATAACAATCATAAATGTTGCTTTCTTTATATAACCAGGTATAACCTTTAATTTAGTACTTTTCGCACGTCAAATAATGATGTCGTGGGATATCATATCAAATTGTAGATATTTAAACGCTCTATTTAATCTAAGCTCTGTATTTTTCCAATGTCTCTTATTTTAAGGTTTCAAAACATGCAACACAGCGAGACTTGCTAAGATGTTTTCTCTAACAGGTGTGATTTTAAAACAACGCGAAAGTGTGACTTAAACCTGTGCTACCGCTGAGTTCATACCAAACAAGCAGAGCTTCTCCAAAATCGACCGCCACAATCCGTTTTCTAAGGTATCCCACAACAGTATCTATAGCATTATATTTTTAGTCTCGTCTTTTGAATTAAGCTAACAAATCAAATTGCAATGTTACAATCACTGTGAAGCTTCATCACTCCAATTCTAAACTGCCGCCATTTTTGTTTTGGAAGGAACATTTCCCAGGCTTCTGGGAGGAGAATACGCGGAGAGGGGAGGACTGGGACGAGTTCCTCAAGGGAAGCACAACCGTATAAACATAATTTCAATCTACCTACAGCAGTTTCAGTTTCGTTCATTAATATCAAGCGATCAGATTTTCGGGAAAAGAATAATAATAGATTCATCTCCGGATTTCTTGCAGTGACAGAATTGAGACAGATATTTTTAAACTCCCCCGTCTTATAAAGTTATTTTCTACATTACTGAAGTTAAGTTACTTCTCTAGTTTTCATCGTGACGTAGTCTCTCGTCCTACCCCGATTTGTTTATTTTATTGTAAGTTATATGTCACCATTGTTGTCTAGTCATTCTTCTCAAACATGAAATGAAAATATGTCTTTCTTTCTCTCACCCCGATTAGTTCCTTAGCTTTTTGAGTGGGAACTGTTTATTTGTAATTGTCAATCAACACTGAGTGGATTATGAATTCAATCAAATTTCTTGTTCGATCTTGTCGTTGTTGCTGTTGATTTTTACACTTTTAGAGCTCCTTCACTTAGAAGCGTGGTTGGAACTTCTGAACCATATTAATTTCTGTCTCATATTCAAGTTCATTTTATTAGTATTATCTTTTTTTAAGGCCAACTTCTGTGTAGGGAATGCAAGACCTATGCCCTCCCTGCTGCCTTCTATCTGAAAGAAAATGTTAATTTTAAAAAATCCGCGTCTACAAGAAAAATGAGCCGAGATTGCTGTTGCTGCTGAGGAGGGCAGCCGTTAAAAACTGTTGCACTATTTGCCTTAGAAGTGATTAACTGACTGATATAAAATATATTTATTTAACATGTTACATAACATGTTACATAACATGTGTTAACATGCTAAAAGTTCAGATGTATGAAGTTAATCAAAGTACTCAATTTATTTACTGTAAACAAAGCTCCAACGTGTCTTCCTTGTTATATCTCACCGCTACCAGGCTACACTTATTGATCTATTAAAAAGCAGTTGTGAATAAAATAGTTGAATTCAATACGAGTCTTGGTAATACGTCGGGATGTCGATACTGGAAGGGCTTCCTTATTCACGTACACATGTGCCTTCAATTCTCCTATTCCATATTTGGGCAGAAAACTTTTTCATGCTTCTGATTGGACAGCTGCCCTTTGCAGCTGCCCAGACAAGTACAAACCTCGTTCCCAGGTCTTTCTTCCCCTGGGAACGAGGTTGAATCGAATGCTGACTCGCACCTCCACGTAACTCAGAGTGTTTGCAGACTTGCTCCTCAACTTGGGCTTAAGATATCGATCAAGGTAATGAGATTTGCCTGCTATCGCTTGGCGTCTTTTTGTAATATTTTACATATCCTTGCTTTCCACCGGGGTCTAAAGCTTCACAAACCACAAATAGTTCGTAAGTGTTACGTAACCCCATTGATAAACCACTCTTACTACTCTTCCGTTAGCTTTTTAACGTATTGACCGATGATCTGCATTTGTTGATTAACGGAGTTGAAAAATACTGTAGGGAATTTAAAAATGGAAAATATCCGTCCCTAAGGTAAAACCTGTCTTCGTTTATTTCGTGACCGATTTCGTGGCATTGCTTGCGGCTATATATTACGGGGCTTTCACTCTTGAAGAGTCCGTCGTTGACGTTTACATGAGAATTTTTAAACTCTAGTCAATACACGTGACAAGAATCCTTAAGCTTATTTGGACAAGAAAGCGATCTCATTTAATGATCATTTAAAAACCATTATGTTGTCCTATTGATCACATTTACAAGTTTTATCGTTCAAAATTATGTAAACTTACTGCATTATTCATGTTCAAACCAGCCCAGTCAAAACCTCTGTGGGGACATTTCGTTTTTTTATCCGCAGCCACCGTAAGGATGGCAGGTTTTTGAATAGGGAGGAATGGATGTTTTCTCCAGAGAAGACAGAGAAGCTGACAAAATGTGAACTGATAAGGTGCCGAGGAAAAATCAACCCCGCTGATCTCATTTTTCAGAGAGTGCCGATAGAGAATTAAGGGTTTGGATTCTATCCATCTTTGATTTTATCTGGAAAGGAAAGGATAACGTTAAACGCTCTGCACTTACTAGTGATATCGAAGATGGCGGAGTTAAAGCCCCACATTAAAATTCCATAATTGAAAGACAAAGAGTACTTTGCTGCAAGAAATTGTCAAATGATCAACCGAGTGGACGGAAAACAATCCTATTGTGACTTTGATTTGAAGAAATTGTCAATCAAATTACCAGCCTTTCATGAAGAATGCTTAAAATGTTTTGTAAAGTGCTCTGCTGTAAATAATTTAAATATACAGGATTTAAATGGAAAAGACTTGTCAAAAGTTATCTTATGGAACAACAAATTTATTTGTTTCGGTGACAAGTCTGTGTATTTTCGAAATCTCGCTTAGAAATTAGGGATCCTTTGAGTGGGTGATTTAATCTCAAATAAAAATGAACTTATAATCAAAAGTGAGTTGAGAGTCTTGCACCTTTTGCCCTTGGAAGCCTTTAGGCTTGTCTCTTTAAAATAGAGGCTCTACCAACTCAATGGCATGAATGGTTGAAAACCTGCATCTCGACAGGTGACACACCATTCAATTTGCATGATGAGATTAAGTTAAGCTTAAGTGGTCAAGTTATTTTACTTGAAAAAGCGTATTCGAAAATTGTTTATGAAGAACTTCGAAACAGAATCGTCACTCCACCAACTGCTAAACTAAAGTTTAATGCTCATTTTGTTAATGACGCTTTGAATTGGAAAAAAATTATAGCTTGCCATATCGTGTTGCCGTGGATACAAAGACTCGCGAATTTCAGTATAAATTACTAAACAGATGCCTTGTGACAAATACCCTCTTATGCAAAATTGGTATTATATCATCTCCAGCTCATCTTTTATTGCTGGCAAAACAATATCTATACTCTTGTATACAGAACAAAATATTATTCTCCCTTCATTAGAGTTGTTAATTCCAAAATTAATACTGTTTTCTTAATCGTTTGGAATTCCTCACAGATAAGTGGAGAACTAATGTCCCGAACCAAAAAGCAGCCAACTGGAAATTGTTTACATGGAAAAGCGTGTAAAATGGTGTCAATGCTTGCCCCTCATGTGCTCTCTCAATCTCTGTGTCTTTCAGTGCAAATGATGGTCCCATGTCCACTTGGACATGTGTATAGTGAAGCTGTAGTTATACAGTTTATTCATCTAAGTACACAATCATTTAAAGTTTAATGGTAGCAGTGAACTTGGTTCTGAAGTGCAGATTGCTTTGCTTTAGCTGGAGTAATAAAAGGTTTTCAACACTTAACCTACCGTAAAATTCCGAAAATAAGCCCCTCCATGTATAAGCCCCTCCAAATATAAGCCCCCCAAACCGGTAATGCAAAAAACCCTCCATTAAATCGCCCCTCCAAATATAAGCCCCCCGGGGGCTTGTACTTGGAAAATTGCCCTCAAATACAAAGTAAAACATAGCAAAAACAGTAAATTTACTTCCAACTATAAGGCTAGCCCAATCGATTTTGAAATGCAAACTTCCCTCCGTAGATAAGCCCCTTCGAATATAAGCCCCTCCAAAAATAAGCCCCTCAAAAAGGGCCTTTGAAAAATATAAGCCCGGGCTTATTTTTGGAATTTCGCTGTATCCTCCAGGACAGGAAATTGGAGATGTTAATTTAATTCCCTGATATGTTGTGGTGTGCAGCAGTTATGGCTGGCTGATGAATTTTCTTACTGTGGACTTACAGAGACTAGTATGACCATTTAATTAAACAATAGACTTTCTCTGATAGACACTCCTGAAGGTAGACATCAAAATAATGCAACAACCTCAAATTACTACGTTGATTTGCCATTTTGAGCTATAAGAATAACAATGCACACAATATTTCAATTAAATACATTTTTAACTGAATATTTATATATTCATCACAGTGTGTAACCTATTGCGATTATAAGAACATTTTTTAATATTCCCACATGAGTGACACAGTTTATTGGGTTCCCTGTGTAAAAATAACACTTGAGTAGAATGAGGAAAAACAATTATGATTGAAATAGTTTTTTCGTTTCTTGTATTCCACAATTTTATTATTCATGATGGACTATGACAAATGAGTTTATTGAAGAGAGCTGATCATAATCGCAAGTCTGCTCTTATTAAAACACATCAACTAATTAAAAATATTCAGAGCACCCTTCCCCTGCAACACATTTTTGTTATCAGAGCATGTATATTTATATGGAAAGCTATTAAAATTTCACTTCTTTAAAATGAAATTGACATAGTTTTTTTTCTATCCTATAATATACATTGTTAAAAATTATTTAGTCCTGATGATGCATTTATGACAGTCAGATATGTTGCGGTGCTATTGGTTATTGGTGTTCATGGCTCCACTCTCTGACTATGTGTGGTCATTAAAGCCTTGTCCAGGTGACACTAGGGGTGACAGGTCAGTTATTATTATTATCGTTATTATGTCGTCGTTGTTGTTGTCAAACTCTCCTTAGCTTGAATTAGAGCGAGACCTTAAATTATTATGGAAATGATCGAAGTACATGCAGAGGGAGTAAAACTTACCAGTAATAAATAATATGTATTTTCAACTGAAATAATCACCTTGTTGTGACCTCTCCCCATTATTATTATTATTATTATTATTATTATTATTATTTTTCTCCCTATTATGGTAATTAGTAGGGGCATATTGTAAGCATTGGATACAAAAATAATGAAAATGATATTATTTATTTTTTGCAATAAATGAATTTCAATTTAATTTCAAACTTGCCAAACCTAAGCCTTTGTAATCATGATAGCTGCATGTGTCTTTGTCATGATGTGATTTACTTATTACAAAATTGCTTGGAATACTAGGCGTTGCAATCATGACCTCACACACAGAGTCTGTGCCCGCATAGGAGTTCCAGATACTTCATTTTGGAAATTCACAGGACAAACATCATGGTGTGGATCACCTAGTGAGTATAATATAGCCTGATCGAGTTAAACCAAACAAACCCACAGTTCGGTCTACACATATATGACTTCTCAGAGACTTAACAGTATAGATCAAGACACTATAGTAATAATATTTGTTACAGTAAATAATTATTGGTTCAAACTAATCAGTTAATAACTTAAATTTGAGATTAAGATTTTCTTATTAAGCCTAGACTGTTCACAGTCGATCCCCTGTGATCCTTGTCGAGATCCAGCACTTTGCTTTCATGGGGTGACCATCTAGGATTCATATGTCCTGAGTCTAGCCTGGGAACGAGTGTCAAATGTCCTTAGGAGGCGGAGGACAGTTTGAGAGGAGGCAATACCGGCCTTCCGCTATAAACCCTGGCGCCCACCCCCTCGGTACATATGAAACCAAGATGGCTACCAGTACGCAAAGCACCCGATCTCGGCAGTCTTACAGAAAATTAGGGGACTGTGAACTGTCTAAAATAAGCTTTGTTCTTGGATTAAACAACTAAATACACTGGATGATCACTCTTAAACATGAACGCTCTTCCAGCGGTGTTTAAGTCTCGCTTGCTTGGAGATTAGATCAAGAGATGAGGATAAATATACGAAAATTCAAGGGCCTTGATTCCACAGAAATTACATCATTGCCATAGATCAAAAAAGTGAGTTACATGGCACATCATTTCAATCATCGCTGAAAATAAACCGCATGCTCATCACGAGACTCATTTGCATGCAATGAAAGTTTACAACATGTGACCAGTTAGTCTTTTGCTAATTAAGATTCTTCTTTTTTTTGACCACCAAAGTGTTCACTTGTTCCAAAGTAATCAACTCTTTCAACCAATAGAATTCGTGGACAGACCCAATCCGGAAAAGTGGTATACCTAAGCTTTCTTCCCAAAACATGCATGGCTTCGGTCACACAACAATACTTATTCCCAGTTTCCATGGTCTCCGTTAGGACCGAAACAGTTGTTTGTGTACTAAATACGAAGAAAAAAATGCTTGCAGATTATGAGTCTTGCTGATCACGCAAGCAAGACTTTTAAGAGTAGCAGATCTTGGAGAGCTGCTCATGGGCCTGTCTGTTTCTTACACCATAGTTGGATTATATAACCAAAGCAATGCATTTGTTTGTTTTCTTATATATGCAATAAATACTATACATCAACAAGTCTTTCAATTAACATTTCACTGTACTCAAAGTTATCTAAACACTCATAATGTTGGTGCCTTTAAAAAGTAATTTGTTTTCCTTTGATCTGTTACCGCTTTTACATTTTTGTGTTAATTAATGTACATGTAGGTTATTATGGCGATGAAAATGATGGCAAACCAAGATGTCCACCAAGTGAGCCCACCTGGTGTATTTGCAAGTGGGCAACTGCCAGTTGGATCAAGGGAGAAGGATGCAATAAGGTTTTTATTATTTTCTATTCAATTTTATAATTGGGGCGCGTGTGTATATGTGAAATAAAAATAATGATGATGATAAATATAATGATGATAATGGGTCTGATCTTTGAGCTGATCACATGAAAAATCTCAGTGCTCTGACAAATTTGTATATATATATATATATATATATATATATTTATATCAGTAAAACTATATGTAATTAAGAAGTGGATTTAAGATGAATAACAAAAATAAAAAGAGAATGAATACAAAATTATTGACTATGACAAGTATTTTGTGAAGAGATTACTGCATGGACTTATGTTTGAAAGAACTTGATGAGTTTGCTGAATGAATGGGTTCTGGTAATGAGTTGAAGCTGTGATTGGTCACTTAAATGAGAAGAAGATACGATGTTGATCTTAAGAAGCATGCAACCATCCAGGCTTTTAAATAACATAAAAGATCTGTTATATATGTTGTGGCTCAGTTATTAATCCTTGATTTAAATTTTGTTACCTTTTGTCTCTCAGTATGACATTAAGTATGGTAATATGTGTGGCAATGAGTTTGAAGTAAAGGAAAATAAAAACTAAAAGATAAAATGATTGAACCACAAAATATACACTAGTGCCTTGCTTGTAAGAGCAGGAGAATCCTTTGTAGAAAGGTAACTGCCATGACATGTATTAGCCTCAGGCACTGCCAGATCCAGCAGTATTTTTCCTGCTTGGGTGGTCTTCACAAACTTTACGATCTAATAAAGACTGGGTGTATGAAAGCTGGTTAGTACTTCAGTAAAGCCCTGCGTGGCTCCTTGTAGCATTTTGGGCCTGCTGTACTGATTTCCAGCCTGTGCATTAATTCATATGGCTTGTAGTCAACAAAAACTTAAAATGAATTTGTGGTTAAATTACATAGTGAGTCAGTTTCCCTTGTAGTTCACTAATGCTAATTGTTAAGATTATTTTGTTTTTCTTTAAAAACAGAATATCCAGTTTGATTGTGAAGCCACTGATGTATGTGACCTAAAGGTAAATTGTCATAATATTATTCTTGTATCCCTTTATACTTTTCTTTTTTAAAATTAACAACATTTGGAAGAGAATTTGGAGAATATCACATTATGTCCTTCCAACAAAGACGTGCATCAGCACCACTCTTTATACTTTCTTTTTCCAAATTAACAAAATTTTGAGGAAAATTCACAGGATATCACAGTGTCCTTCTAGCAAAGACGTGCATCATGTTATAGAACAAGTGATCTGTTAATTTATAAAAAAAAACATAAAAAACCACTCCCTTAACTCTATTAGTCCTAATTATGAAGAACCTCAATAAATCGCTTTCAGCCTCGTGGTCAGCAGCTTTACAAATTGCTTGGAATAAAAGTAAGTTTTAACATGTGAAAAGAGTTCAATTCCTACAGGATTTTTTTGGTGCACAAACTTGGCCACCGATTCATTGTTTTGAACACAAATGTGGTCACCGTGACGTCATGTAAAAACAATCTATTTTCTGCTTACAGTATCAATAGAGAGGTTAAGCATCACGTTTACGTCAAACGGCAAACGTGAATTTGTACCACATGATGAAGTTTCCGTCCCCATTGTCATTTACTGTTCATCATTTCTACACATAAATTAGTAGTTTCATGCAATTTTTTATCCATAAGAATTTTTTTAGCTGCTTTTATCTGCTCATTTTCTATTTTGAGAAATTCTCAGCGTGAATCTGATGTTTGCCGTTTGCGGAATCTCTCCAATGATCAAGAGAAAAAGTTATGAGAATTGATGAAATGATGGTCGAAGGGGAAATGATTTGATCTTTGACCAAATCTTGAACAAATGATAGAGATTAGTCTGTATGTGGATACTGGGGCTTAAAGTGTTAATTGACACCACAGATGTATTTGATAGGTAGAGAGGAACAATTGTGTTAAGTATAGTCCCCTAAGTAACTATCTCTTTGTCAAATTTCCAGGCCAGTTACAAAGATTTTAACGTCGATTTGAAGCCTGCTCATGACTGTATGATGGTGAAGTGCAAAAAAGAGTGGGAGGCCTGTGGCAAGGCTGCTCAAACTAGATCCTATCAAGGTCGAGATTTGTTGGAAGTTTGAATCTAGTTTTCTTAAAGAAAGCACGGGAATATAAATAACTGTGATATATTATTTGTAGCAAATAAAGTGAAAAAAGTCAGAGAAGTCTCGTGTCATTTTATTATGAAGTTATTCAACTAGCAAACTATGTATTCTTGCAAAAATTCATTCTTACCTCCAAGGTTTAATAACAATTTCTCTCAAAGCAATCAATTCCACTTTTACAATACAAGAAATTCCCAGGCCTACCGTCTACCGTATTGTCGAACAAACACTAAGAAGTTCTTGCCCTTTTTTCAAGGACCTAAGTTTTTTAATTCACTTGACAACGAGGTCATCAACTCTCAATCCCTTTCCTCTTATAAGAAAAAACTGACGATTAAATTATTGAGTAAGTATGAAAACAGTTCATAAAATTTTTCCATCTTCGACTTTTCGCCATTTTTTCTTTAATTGATGTGAAACAGCTCTAGCCCGTAGTTCGAGGAAGCTTAACCTCTCATAAGCTCTTCATGTTATTGACGTTATCAAATATTATGAGGCACTCTCAAGTATACAGCAGACGATACTGTAGTCTGGTTCTTACCTACCTACATTTCAAAAGGACAATTTACAGTTGTGTGCAAAGCACCTTAGCCTGCGTAGCAAGCGTTTCCAATCGAGAAACGGAAGTGTGGAAACGCTTGCAACGGTGAAGGCTACACCTTAGCCCAAAAGTTAGCCCTTGAGTGGAAGTGAGGCTAGGGATAACTCGATCTAAGGGCGCTTTCCATCTGCCAGACCATTCCCGTCGTAGTGAGAATTTCATTTTTATCAAAACTATACAGTCAGATCAGTCAAATCCTAAAAAGTATGCGCGGAGTAGTTGGTTTTTCAGCAAAAGCTCTTGCGGAAAGCCTACTTCATCGACGAAATGACTGGTTCGGCCATAACCTATGTGTAACCGCACGCTCCCCCCGACGAAGGAAAAACGGAGCGAGGAGGGTGCGGTTACACGTAGGCAAGTCCGGCCAGTTCTGACTTTAGGAAAGCGCTCTTAGTTGACGGAAAACCAACGCGATGGAACTGCATAGCAATATGGTAGTCCCATAAAAGTATTCCTAGCTCATCCAGAAAGCAACTGTTCTTCCATAAACTCACAGAGTTAAACGTTTGTGACATCTTATACTATCCAATGACACTGAAAGCAAAATGACTGTTTTGTACAAAATTCAAAGAAGCAAATATTACCTAAAAATCTGTTACTGACTCGAGAGAGGCTAAAAGTTTTAGATGACTTCTCCATTCACGTCAGATTTTGAGGGTTTTTATATTTATCTAAGATCTTCTGAAGATGGATTTTCCATTTTTAACATTTCCCGTTAATACACTAAAGTGCAGGCTTGTTGTTAAAGAACCCCTAAAATTTTTTTTTTTTTTTTACAATAGTCATTAACGGTAATCTAAGATTTTCTGATACAGATAGGTGATGCGAAAACCCTCATATTCTCGAAAATGGGAAAGGTGCCCTAAAATGACAGAACCGCAACACAGAGAGCAGAGCAGCTTCACTGGCACTCAAAACAGCGTTTAAAACACTAAACCGATCGTTGGGCGTCTCTAATTTATGACCAAACTGATCAAATTGCTTTCATTCTCGATATTCTGTTGGATATCTTTCCTTTGGAGTAAATCCAAGCATAGCAATACTCTGCTAGCCAGGTTTCTTTCCGCTGTGGGTTTTAGTATGTTTGATGTACGAGGTCATTCCCGCCGCTGACATTCACGTAGTTGGCTTGTTTTTTTTTCCTTCCTCTCAGGGGCGTAAACAAATGGACAGCGACGCAAACAACTCCCCACATGCTAAAAGTCAGGCCAGAAAGAAACCTTTGATCGCAGGGCGTTTAGATAACAACAAGAGCCATGGCTCTTGATAACAACTTTCCGGTGATTCTCAAAGAAGCACGCTGGTCGTGTTAAGAGGTGGTAGTTCGGGCCGGGATAACGGATAGTTTGCAGGTGTAGCGGATGGATGCAATCACCAAATGACGAGATGAAACAAAAGATTGAAACACACACTGAATAATGCCCACGCCACAAATCAATAGCTAACCAACAATAGTTTCCGCAACAACAAAAAACACCCGGATAACCGAACAGACTTCCTCTGTATTTGCGCGGCCTCATTCGATCTGTACTATGGCTTTTAGTAACCCCTACTCTCAATAAGACAACGAAATAAAATCTTATAAATACTTTTTAATGTCTCTGAAGTTGGTAATCACAAGCAACCAGTCCATTGGTTGCCGACAAACCATTGCATTCCAGCTTGGTTAGTTAGCTGAAATGCTGAAAATCTATCACCTCGAACTAAAAGGTTAACAGTGAGTTCTATTCCCCCGTCTAAAGAAACTTGTCTTTTTGACATAACGTCAAGCTACCCCGCGAGCAGTGGTTTCTCCAGGCCGGACGCTGAAACCACTGCTCGCAGGGTAACTTCTAACTGGCACTGCTCATTGACCTCAATGACAACTGTCAGTTTTTAACCATGAAAATCAAGATTAATAAAACTCTTAATGATATCTTATTCCAATGGCGAAACGGTGCGAATTCACAAAAAAAAAAACTACGCGCAAAAATAATCGTCCTATTAAAATCTCATCGACGACAACTGTTTTTTTTCCTTTTGGCTACGTATATTAAAACGTGCCTTAAAATCTAAACTTTACTTCAAAATTTGCCTTCTGGAAAATTAAATACCGGTAGTTAAAATGTCTCATTTGCAGAGTAAGAAATATAATTCTTTTGCTTTCCTACTCTGAAAACAAAACATTGCCAAGAGGAATTTCAGACTCAGAGCAAAACTGTTCGAACAGAATCGACACAAAAAAAGAAAGGAAGAAATTCACCCAGGAATTAAGTCCACAGAGGCCTGTACCTACCACCGTTAAAATGGTTACACTCGCCTGACGAAGACGTCGTGACAACAAGTTTCAATATTTCAGTTAAAACTGTCTTGATCTGAGTCTAAAACTCCTTTGACGAAAACAACAACAAAAAGAAATCCGCAGAATAAAAATTCGTAAGCATCCGCTTTTTATAACAAAAGAACAATCGCGCATGCGCACTGTTCGGATGAGTAATTTCAGTTGTCACAATCAAAACTGAGGGTAACTGCGGATGATTCAGAGATAACCAAGCAGAAACGACTTTAACAAAGATTTGACAGACATTATAAATAGTATTATTCAAACCCGAGGCTTAAATCTCTGAAAAATGGGTGGTTTTTCCAATTAATAGTACTTTGTATTTCATCAGGCCATGTTTACTTTTAATTTTCCCGTATGGTCATAATCCACCAACAAATTGTTCGTAATTGGTGATGCTATCCCCAAAAAGTCCGAGTGTTTCACATCCGCAGACGTAATGTAAGCAGTAAGAGAAGAAGGCAGTGTTTTTTAAACAAAGTACACCGTATCCCGTCGCGCAGTTTTACCAACCATACAGGTTTCTATAATCTCCAATAGCAATGAATTATTCCCGCAATCCCATAGCTTGATAACAGGCCTAAGGGGGAACCGTTGCTGTCTCCAAAGTTTTTTCCATTATTTGCCACGTGAAGCAATTTTTTAAGAAAAAAGCTTGGAGCTCTGTGCGCGAGGATAGGGTGGGAGAGGCAACTACAAATTGTGTATTTCTGCCCAGGTTTCTTATGGCTACTATAACTAGACACCTAACATCTTTTTGTTTGAAATGTCTTCATCCTTTATGTGCGAGTTACAGGTAAAATCGATCTTGCGCATTGCTCCGTATATTCTTTCTATCGTCTTAATTTTGCTAAGGGTCAGCTCTGTACGTTTTTCTTTTCATCTACGTCCACATTGAACATTTCCAGAGTGCTGCAGACGCCATTCATTTGTCCCTGAGTTGGTTGAGAGCGGAATTATCCCTTTTATTGCTTCTTTTGCATTGTCTGAATCATCACCTGACCCGCTGTTTGATTAGAGAGCTCATTTGGAAATCTGCTTTTGAAGATGGACGAGAAACTCGTAATAAGACATAACTGACTCTGATCTGTCATCCACCAGGTTTTGAAGGAACAACATTCTAAATCGACTGTCCTCCCTGTAAAATGCAGAGAAAAGCACAGTAAGATATCAAAGAAATTGGCTTGTGTTTAATAACGTTACAACATATCTAAGCAAACAAAAGGAAACTTACAATGAAAGTTACTAAGCGGCTCGTGCCTACGGGCGTAGATTTGTTTGTGACATTTTTAAATACCAATTTTAAGAGGGAGTTACCTCTTCACTGACAGCTACATATTAGACGTCACGCAGTTGGCCTCTGAACAGACTTGTTTTCATTCTCGCTTCAGGACTTTTGTTGGACCGCTCACACGTTCTTAAAGTTTACATTTAAAGAGGTGCAGACGACCTTTTTATGACTTGGACAACGCAAGCTCTAGCTTATCAATCTTGATAACACTTAACAGCGTGCATGTAGCTGTAGTCTGTGTGATAGTTCTTGGATGTCACTTATCGCCATAGCGTTTACTGTAAAAAGGGTAATTCACACTTACATGTTACCTCCAACTTAACCACCCTTCCAGGAAGAAAAATTAGTTTTACGAACAGACTCTCGGTTAGAGTTTGAAGAGAAGTCTAGCTGATGTCTTTTTAATAAAATTCTTTAATGCTGATTGGTAACTTGAGGGATTATGCTACGTCTCGAGTCTCGCTAGGGAACCTGAATCACTTTCTCTGCGATAATTAACATACCTTAGAATATATATGTTAGCATGACACGTTCTCTGTGACTGCAAGTAATCCACAAATGTCCTTACTCTTTCTGACTGGGGATTTTCTAACACTGGAAGTGAACCCTGCAACAGAACAAAATATTGCGACTCAGCAATCACCTACTTTGAATCACTTCGGTGAAAAGTGGGTAAGAAAAACTGAAAAAAGAATATCTACCCTTCATGAGTCTGAAATTTTCGATCGATCATGGATTGTGAAAGTTATTCTAAACTGGTAACTAAAAGAAATGCTGACTATTCAGTACTGAGCCGTCAGAGATTAAAGTGATACGAAGAAGAATTTCCTACCAAATTTTCTGGAATACTGCCAAAATTAGGGACATTGAACAGCGCTTGAATGACATCAATAGGAGCGTCCCGTGCAACCCAAATATAGAAAGCCTGAAAAAACAACATGCAACATTTCATCTTAGTATTTTGATCACTCACTGTCAAATACATTCGATAATGTATGCGCCATCACGTAGCCAATCTAAACACAGCAAATAACGCCAGGAACAAACCTTAAACCAAAACAGCCGAAGTATCAAGGCTCTAACGGAGACAAATTTAGGCTAGTGTTCATACTGTAGCGGATAGCTTTTCCTGCCGCCACCAAACTCTGTCTAGGGGCTGGCTTTTCCAACGGTGGAAGCTCCTGGACATCCCAGGGACCCAGCTCCACTAAGCGACGCATTTGTTAAACTCTGAAATCACCGTTCTTATCTGTGAACAGAAGCCCTATCCGGTATTTGTGAACACAGCTTTAGAGCAGGCCTATAGCTGAAGCTAAGAAATGCCGGTTNACACGTTCTCTGTGACTGCAAGTAATCCACAAATGTCCTTACTCTTTCTGACTGGGGATTTTCTAACACTGGAAGTGAACCCTGCAACAGAACAAAATATTGCGACTCAGCAATCACCTACTTTGAATCACTTCGGTGAAAAGTGGGTAAGAAAAACTGAAAAAAGAATATCTACCCTTCATGAGTCTGAAATTTTCGATCGATCATGGATTGTGAAAGTTATTCTAAACTGGTAACTAAAAGAAATGCTGACTATTCAGTACTGAGCCGTCAGAGATTAAAGTGATACGAAGAAGAATTTCCTACCAAATTTTCTGGAATACTGCCAAAATTAGGGACATTGAACAGCGCTTGAATGACATCAATAGGAGCGTCCCGTGCAACCCAAATATAGAAAGCCTGAAAAAACAACATGCAACATTTCATCTTAGTATTTTGATCACTCACTGTCAAATACATTCGATAATGTATGCGCCATCACGTAGCCAATCTAAACACAGCAAATAACGCCAGGAACAAACCTTAAACCAAAACAGCCGAAGTATCAAGGCTCTAACGGAGACAAATTTAGGCTAGTGTTCATACTGTAGCGGATAGCTTTTCCTGCCGCCACCAAACTCTGTCTAGGGGCTGGCTTTTCCAACGGTGGAAGCTCCTGGACATCCCAGGGACCCAGCTCCACTAAGCGACGCATTTGTTAAACTCTGAAATCACCGTTCTTATCTGTGAACAGAAGCCCTATCCGGTATTTGTGAACACAGCTTTAGAGCAGGCCTATAGCTGAAGCTAAGAAATGCCGGTTCTAGCCTAAGGAACCATTATACACGTCTAATGACGTTTGTTTGTATGTTTTTCTTTACGTCTTAGCACATAAGAAGAATGGGTTCCTATTTCCTGGCCTGCGAATACAGCCGCCTCTCCTCGCTCCTCGCGAAATGTACCTACTGGCGAGGGGCGGGGATACAAGGCTGTATTCGCAGGCTACTTCTTTCTAAATGTGTTCCTTGGATGCTGTAGAATCCAGTCTTCTGTTAGGTAATAGCCCTGAGGAGGAAGCCCTCAAATAAACTAACTTGCTGTTTGCGTTTGATAGAAATTATCGCTATACTTACATGACCCGTGTCCATGAGGAAAATTCCCTTCCGACTCAGCTTTTCTCCTGATAAGTGATAGATAGGGGGTTTTGCAACCAGGCCTGCTTTAGTTTGAATAGCGCCCTGTGAAAGGAAACATTTTTACAATCACCATGTTCTAAACGAGTATAAAACTGGGCAAGAAATGCGACCATAAAGCTTTTTGGGATCGTTTGGAGGGATTGCGTGACGGTCAACAAACGTGGCGCACAAAAAGAGCTGTGTTCCAAACTGCATTTCAGAAATGAACCTTATCTTCACTATTTAAGAGTTTTTAAAGACCCTGATGCACGATATCTTATTCTTGAGTCAGAATAACTTTGACTGAGAGCGTCTTTAACAGGTGGCTTGCGGCTGTCCCTCCAAACGATCCCTAGGGCCTTTGTGGTCGTAAGTCGTACCAGTACCCCACTCGTTTAGACCATAGCTAATTATGGAGTCCAGGGCATATAAAACAAAAAAGTGATGCAAACGGAAGAAGTTTGCCTGAGGTGGGCCGTATGGAGGCTTTCCTCTCTTTACCTGTCTCTCACAATGTAACCCAGTCACTTAACCTAATTTTAAATGATTTACTCGACAATATAGCAACTACTGTCTCCTTCTTCGTCCCCCACCCCTCAAAATGCTTTGGTGGGCTGGCATGATGGCCATGCTCACCTCATCTGACAAGTCGTGAATTGGGTACATTTTGGGATAAACAGACAGCATGGCCAGGCTAAGAGGCATCACTTTGAACTGTTGCATCGCAAAGCACCGCTCATCCAAGCGGCTGCTGGAACCAAGACGAAAAGCCACCTGAAAGAATCAAACAGCATAAACAAAATGTCAGGACGGAAATTAAAACCAGATATGAGAGATTCAACAAATATGAACGACCTAATTCGATTGGCATGGATTGACAATGGCAAGGTAGAAATGTCAGTGAGAATAGAAAACTATAAAAGAGAGCACAAGCATCTTTGTTTCCTCTTTTGGCAGTTATCGCCGTTCAATAAAAACTTCGAAAGGGTAACTTTTCGATATCAACGACAACGGTTAAGACGACAATAAGTCAGCAGTTGTTTTGTCTTTGCATCCTTGTTACTCAGCATAAAGAAGAAGTAGAATTTTTAGGAACTTGAAAAGTTCGAATTTTGATCAATGTCATTAAACTCGCCTCTCTGACTCGGAAGTTTCTGGAAACAGAAGGAAACTGACCTCAAAATATCAGTTTACTCATAGAATACTTTAGGATGGAGAAGATACCTATAGATTACAACCTACACGCTAGAAAACTGCTGGGCTACATGAAACGTTAACGTAGCTTCACAGAAGCAACACCGTGTTGCTTTTGATTTCCTCCACTACATGCATGACGCAACAAGATGATGCTTTCATTAGAAAACAAACAAACAAACAAACACATCTGTTCAAATACATACATGTTTCATGATGGCCAGTATAAAGAGAGGCAGTAATCTGAGGGAATGAGGGGCTAGCAATCCACTGCTTTGAGGTTGATTTGCCACTGATGTACGGTACACTCCAAGAGTGTCTATACAAGCATTCATCAGAGCCTAATAAAACAACGTGAAATAGTTCATTGTCAACAGCGATCTTGATAAGCTATCTGTCAGTCAGTGAGTGTGTTTAAACTTCAAGCACTAAATCTTTTTCCCAAACTTTCCTGTTATACTGTTTAATAAGCAGTTCAAGTTGCTTTAAATATTTAGATTTGTGATCCTGTTTGTGATACTGTGCAAGGTTGTTCTGCCTCCCTGTACCAGAATTACAGATGAAATTCTCCCGACTACTAGACTGCGAGCAATGTTTTATATTTCTTTACAGTCATAAACGGCTGCAGATCAAGAGCACGCGTGAGGCGAGCAGAGAAGCCAAGCGAAGAAAAAATATTTTTCCTCTCTCCATCCTAATATCTCCTCCTGTTTATCATTAATTTGCATTATTTTCCTCTTTCGTTTGGAGTATGTGGCTCGCTCGCAGTCAAACCAGCCACCGAGTGACTGTTCTTATGAAGTTTCTTCAGCATTTCTTTTATTAGCTTGCCGTCAGAATTCAATTGCTTACAAACTTAATTACTGAGTTTGATATACGCCACTAATGAATGGAAAGCGTTCTATTTATGTAGCACTAACCTCTCTTGCATCGCCTAACTAGGAACTCAGTGTTCTGTCAACAGCTGCGGAACAAGAAAACAAAAAAAAAAGCAACAGTCAGTGAGGTACAAAACTAATTTATTAATCAATGATAAATGAACCAAGAAAAAGAATAAGGACAACTCCTCGAGGCATTTGAAGTAGATACAGGAAAAAGGCCAGATTTTTAATGGTAGTCGCTGGCCACTGGATTTTCACGCGTTTTGAGAATTCGTCTCGTTATTTTTAGTGAGTTCTAAGTGATTTGGTGAAAAACGTTGGGAAGCATGTTTAATTCCGGATCCAAATGGTATAAGCAGCGCTTTTTGTGGTCATATTCTAACTTCTAACTCTACCTCCTTAACCAAAAGTGTAACAATGATAACAAGAAAAGCGATCCAGTGAGTCAGAAAACAATTAAATTCAGTGACAACTGGCAAGTTTGGGAACTGATGAGAGAGATATAAAGATGGCTGACGGTGATTTGCAATACCCCATCACTGGCACATCAAAATGAATTAGCTCCTGAATGGTGCCGCATTGCCTTAGTTTAACTTGCTTTCAACAGAGCTCTAGGGCAAAACTCCAGCTGATTTGTGCAAACCAACAGATTCTTTTGTTTCACTATTAAGTGCACTCACCCATTTTAGCCAAGAGTGTAGCAATGGCTTGAACATCAGCTGTGGCATATATATCGGCCAGCTTGTTAGTGATAGGTAACGCCAGTGTGTGTACTCTGATACGCCGCTCACCTGCAAACAAAATTAACCCTTAACTTACCAAGGGACTGCATTTTATTCACCGCTTTACTCGACTTTTACCCACGGTTTCCGTTTTGAGTAAAGTCTTTCTAGTGACCCAACAAAAAAGCTTCACTGCTCATGGCTTCGACCTTCGGCCGAAGATCTGTCGCCTACGGCCGACATCGAAGAATCCCGCACACGAGAAACAACCTCGGGTACCCAAGGTAACTCAACTAACACCTTGAAGTATAAGTGTCACTCATGACATGAAGTAAAGAGAGTGATTGAGGGTACAAACAGGCTGGATTACCAGCCACTGTTCTGGAAATGAGCCCGCGCTTCTTCCCAGAACAGTAGGCCGATTTAGCAACAGAACGGGAACGTCACTTGACAAAGGCGCGCGCAAATCAAACAACTGGCTTGACCAATGGCACAGCGGCAAATTGGGCATCGGAAGTCGTGTTTAGTCCTTTCCGCGCGCTTTCCTGTCGCCAACTGACGTTCCCGTCCTGTTGTTCAATCAGCCTAGTCTCTTCTCAAGGACGACGGAGAGAGCGGCACAAATCGAACCTAGGGTGCAAAAAGAAGAGGTACAACTGCAACCGGTTTGTTGGATGCAACATTACCTTTAGTGCTTGTATAAAGAAGTGCAGACTGAAACACTGCGATATTAGAGTCTGTTAATGAGTCTTCAATATCAATCTGCATACTGAATCCACTATCAGGGCTGACATTTGGCAAGGAAACTAGGTCCGTTGAGCGTACAAAGAAGTTGCCATGAAACGTGTGAATAGAAAGACCTGTTGAGAGAAAAAGGGGAGGGAAAAACAACGATGAAATGCTACGTCTTTAGGTAAAACAAAATATCAGGGTGCGAAGAGTTTAAGCAGAAACTTTACTTGCAATTTACCTTTAGTACACCTGACCCTCATGACAGCTTCAAATCCAATCTTCCTTGTTAGATAACGACTGCAAATGATAAAGCAAAAAAATAGATTAACGTCCATCTCAGTTGTCGTGGATGACCAGAGGAGCCTAACCTCCTGAGTCCAGTTGTTCGAAGCTTGGATAGAGCTTACCACATGAAACTATATCTAGTGGATGACACAATTGGTCTCCCTAATACTTATCCGCTGGACTAGATACAGTGGATAGCGCCATCCAACGTTTCAACAACCGCACAATCACGTGACCATCCGTACGTTCGTCCACCCACTCCATGTAAGCCGATGTCAAACGTCACCTTTAGTACTACTACACTAACGTGGCTAACAGAGAAAGAGCTAAAGCATGACATAAAAAATCAAGAGAGAGGAAGTTTGTTGAAAGAAAAACAAGAAAATTTTATAGCCGCGGTGAGAAAACGAGAAATGCTAGCGCTGCGGCCACCAAGGTTAAAAAAAAAGGCAGACAGACACTTTAAACATACGACATTTCCTTTGTAAAACGTGTAACTAGGAAGTTTCACGTTTTAGTCGGGCAAAACAACGGCAAAGATATGTACAAAAAAGTGTGCTGCTTTTTGCTAATGAGACCTTTTTTCTTTCTTTTTTTTTTTTAGAGTTTTCGTTGCCGTCGCGGTTTAGCATTACACGATTTTATTTTTTACTTGAGTAAACTATAAGTATATTATTGAAGGAAGAAGGAAGGAAGAAGTATCTTTTTGAAGGAATCTTCCTAAGATTTAATAGGAATACAGCATTAACCTTTAAAAATTATAACTACTTACACAAATTCATTTTCAAATTTTTCTGCTGCTGCTGGGTTCCTGACCGCATGGAAATCTGGGTAATACATCACTGATCCACCAGAATATTTAGAGGCACACACTGAAAGATTAAAACAAAGAACATTTTAATAATGTGTAGCAATTGTTTTGTGAAGCCTGAGAGATTAAGATACCACGACACAGAGGTATTTATCCTTTACCAGAATACTCACTTAATGTTGCAATGTCAGCATATTGTCCAGACAACAAAAACAGGTCTACAGCTACTTGCTCAGCAGCACAGTCCAAGGCAAACTTCTTGTAGAAATCTGTTGCTGGTGTCAGATTCTGAACATCCTACGTACGGAAAGTAAGCAAAAAATGTTTCTTCATTAGGTATAAATTTACAGAAATTAATTTAAGTTTTCACTTAGAGAAAGTTTCCGTTAAACAAAGCTAAAAAAAAATGCCATGCGCAATGGATGCTTGTCCACAATTCGAGTATCCCTGAACCGCCCGTGTGGATCCACGTCCCTTCTACCACTTATGAAGTCATCAGTTCAAACGGTCAACTTGTACAGGGCGAAGAGTTAGATCTTTTAAACCATACCAGAATGAGCACGATTCAGTAAAGGAGGCCAGAGAAAAAAGGCAAAAAAAACGTGTAACGTTGACCCGAAAATTCCCATGAAAATCGTGTTTCACTACTCACCTACCTTTCCTTTTAGCTAATCATAAGATCCTAAAAGCTTTCCCAGAAACTTTCCCCTCCAAAATGAAGCCTAGTACAGTGTAAATGCCCAGCAAAAGAAAAAAAAGCGAGACAAGCGAAAGAAGAAGGGAGGAAAGAAATTTTGCTTTCTGGGCATGCCCAAACTTCGGAAGCGAATATTCTTCATCTGGATGCCGATCAGAAGGCCGCGACGTGTACGTCCTGTAAACGGCTTTATGTAAGTTTTCGCTTTTTATACCCAGACACTGACCAATCGACTAGCTTCAAAACGCGTTCCCAAGAGCGAATGGGTTAAAACGCCTCAATTCAAAGCAGAGCTATCACTTAGTTTCTAAGCTGTGGGGACGGGAACTAAACAGCTTTACCATGAAAATAGCTGGGGTCATGTTCTTGGTAGCCAGGGGAAATCTCCAGCCACTAGCCCATAATGCCAGCCCTGCAAAGTCACACAACATCTTGCTAAAAAAAAACCCTGATGATTTAGAATCAGCTGCAGCTGTTGGAGTGCCACAATAAGATTATGGCATACAGTGTATGTCATGTAACATAACTGTACAGCACATGTTGATTTGTCTCTTGGCAGCTGAGAGTCCTGAGGTCAGAGACTATAATTTGTCTTATAACCATTGAGAGACTTTGTCTCGTGGAACATGCATATTAATTGGTAACCAACCTTTGGGCTGGATTTCTGTCCATCCTCTCTCTTTTTTAACTCCCCTGGACCAATATTAGGAAGAGTTGTCTGAAACACTGTCACACGGCCACCAATAGGACCCTTCATATATGAGGAAAAAAAAAAACATTAACTTATCACAATGGCTAAAAAAACATAAGCCTTCTTATATTATTATGTCTGTTGTGGTTCAAATCTATCTTTAATAGGGCATCTGCACGATGACCACGTCATTTTACTACTTTGACCAGAATCCTTCAGGGTTTTCCTTTCTTGTGTAGATTAGTGCTACTGTTATTCAAACCTCGCTGGGATTTCCAAATTTAAATATGAAAGGAAAAACAAAGAGGATTCTGGTCATAGCACAGTAGTAAAGTGGCACCATAGTGCAAATAGCCTATTCGATTCTTGCATAATAGTGTATGATATTCTTTAAAAAGCAAAGAAAAATAGTATATTTTCACGAAGAAAAAATTAGCCACACCTGATCTACCTGTGACCTTGATACCTCAATGAAATAACCTCTCTCTTAGCCCCAAGCATTGTATGTCATTACAAGAGCCATTTATCCTCTCAATGGCAAGGTTCTCTTTTACTATAATCTACAATGCATGGCAAATACCAGACCACAGTGGAACCTCTATATAAGTTTGGAAATATTGAAGTTCTTTTCCATATATTTTACTACTACAGGGGTCTGTTCTTTATACCCAGGACTTTGTTATATAAAGGTTTGTTAATAGAGTTTCCACTGTATTTACAATTGCCTATGTGTAAGAGAAGGATGTGGCTACTTACAATTAACTTTAGTGCTGCCTGCATGGCTGCCCCTGTGGCACTGTGCACATTTGGATTCTTGCTGAACAATGTTGGAAGAGAGTCTAGTAGCTGTAATACTAGCTGAAAAACAAGATAAAAATTCTTATTACTAACACACTCAGATCCTGATTAGGAAAGTAGTTAATCCCTGAGTAAGAGCCTTTGATTTTGTTGAAAGGTAATAATTTTAAAACTTCTTTACATCTTACGTGGCAGTTGCAGGAGAGAAGTATTTGACAGCCAAATTGAGAGATCGTGTGTAACATTTCACACTGTGTACAGTACTAATCATCTCCTTCAAACACAAACATCTTTATTGTGTTTGTGATGGAAATGCTCATTTAGAATCCCATAAAATGATTTATTAAAGTGTACCAATAAAAAGTAATATGTTCAGAGAGGCAAGATAAAAATGTTTGAATTAATAATATATTAATAGATGCCTTTAGTTTGTACATTTTGTTTTCCCATTTCAGACCACACGATGTTACCCTAGAGAATCATTTCTTTCAAATGCCATCCTATCCAAGTGCATTTGTTTGCACGTGCATAATGTATACATTCCAAACCATCACTGATTAAGTGGAGTATCGCTGCTTGCCTTTATACAGTGCCTCAGCAGGGCTGTGCTCTAGCAGAGCCCGGTGGCCCCTAGTGACTAACTTTTGCCCTCGGGCGACTAGAAAATCTCAAATTTTTCATACAAATCATATGCTGACACCCTAGATTTTACAGTTTCAGAGCACTGGGCTCCCTTCAATTTTCCTTAGAGCACAGCCTTGAAATATCATGAGCTTAGAAGTTTGATACTACCAGTAAGTTACATACCGCTGATCTATTAAACATCACAGTAAACTCAGATAAATTGAGTTAAGTAGCCCATAGAAAAATTGATAAACATTGCATTTTAAAGCAGAGTCCTGCTCACCTCTTTGCTTTCATTTAAATTGACCAGCAAATCATCCGGGGAAGGCAGAAAAACATCTAAAAATACAATAAAGAGACGTAGTATCAATTTTCTGGCTTTCACAAATACATGTACAAGCACTAACTGTATCGTCTACCAAAATGAAGCAAGCACATACCTTCTAAATCTGATACGATATGCATTTGAGGTTGGCTAAGTTTAGACTGCAAAAAAAGGAAGACGAAATAAATGGATGAGTTCAGCGTCTTAATTAGCGCAGGGAGAGGAAAAAGACTTCCAGTATGGAAGAATCTAACATAATTAGCATAAGCCAGTTATGTGGAAGTCACCTACCTTTAAGCTATAAAAGTGAACTGTGCTATTAAATGTTATAAATCCAATCTGTGTTCTCAGGTCTCCTGGCATTTTATCAAGGTTGTCTTTTAGTAATTTACAAAACATATTTAGGTAACCTGAAAAACATAAGCAGTAAACAGTAAAGTAGTGGTCTCTGTAAGATATATGTTGTACTTAACTTTTTATCTCAGGTAATTTTTGTTTTTCTTTTGTTTTGGGGTATAGTAATGTAGGCTAATGAAGTTGAAAAAAGAAGAAATATAAAAATTACCTGAGATAAAAAATTAACTACAACATAAAACACCCCCTAAAACAGTCTAGAATGGATCAATGCCTTTCTTTATTCATGTAATGTCCATCTTGAGTTTCAATTATTAATTTTACAAAAAAGTTGTTGGTTAAACTTCTGCTTCTGCAATTTTTCCACATAATAACCAGGGTCTTTTAACTCATATTAATAATGTCCTTTTCGAAACATTTTTAAGAAAATTTGATAGGCTGTGAATTCAGAACAATCAGATACAATGTACCCTGTTTTTTAAGCATTCCAATTCACAGAGAGAAAAAGATTAATCAACAAAAACATACTATTTAGTAAGCATAGTATGGTAAAAAGTAAGTTGTCATAGCCCAATATCAGTGCTATTGACTGCTGAGAATCATGAATGTACCTGTTTCTAAAGCATTGAAAGAAACATCCAAAACAAACAGGAAGACCGCTGGCTGAGGGGGACGCAGCTGAAAACAAACACAACACATTTTAAAAAATTAATATTAATTGATTAGTCTGTCAAACTTCTTGAAAAGCCAAATATTAATTATTGTTAATTGTATCCAGGCTTGAAAATAAACTTATTAAATGTGGCCTCACTTTCCAAGTTGGTAGCTATGCCTTTCATAGATTGCAGGGCGGTGTGGGGGCACACAGCACATATGATAATAAAAGTTCTATTATTTTGGATTACCAGGTATATGTAATAATGGAAAATACAGCTGTATTTTCAAGTGTCCTCAGAAAATATCCAGGGCAAAGGAAATGATAGCTTGTCATATCTTATGGTAAAAAAGTATTTCGGTTTCCTTTATAAATGACATACTCAGTGGGCAGTAGTCTCAGGGACTAGATTTTATCTGCTTACCATATATTCTGAAGGTGCTATAAACTCTACAGTTGCAGTCCTAACTTCTGGTCTTTTCGATGGATCTCCATACTGCCTTGTTGTAGGATCAAAACAGAATTCCTCTGGTACTACAAAACAATAATAAATATGCAGAAAGCAGGTCTTAAATTTACGTTTTTCGATAACAGTTACCAACCCAAAGGATTAGCAGATAAAAAATTTTACTAACCACATTATAAAGCTTATTATCCAAGAATCTGGTCTTGGATTTACAATGCAAACCAAAAGGGAATTTGCTTTTGTCTGCTAGGAGAGGGAATTCTCTGTACACAAGGTGAAACGTTTTATCTTTCAGCCTAATCAAATTGTAATATTAGATAAATGCACTTATTCATTCTGTACAGAATATATCTTCTCTTTTCTTATGTTTTTCTTAAACCTGTTTCCTTGAGCCTTGTATACAGCAGTATTTAAAATTGTACTACCATTACCTCTTCATTACTTTCCACAAAAAAAAGGACTTATTGCCAACAAGGCACTTTTAAAAGAAAAAAACCCACACAAATGCACACAAACAAACAAGATGGAAGACATAATTGTGTCCAAGCCTCCACATCCTGCAAATAGGCCTGGTAATGTTGTGTTCTGTATAGTATACATTTTCATGTATGATCACACAACAGGGTTAACAGTAAGCTTACAGTGTCTACCTCTTAAAACACAAATCTTTTCAAGATAGAAAACAACCTTAAACATTTATTTCTTAGAGGATTTTCTCTGGACACACTTTAAGTAACCAGACATAGAAACCTACAAACCTTTGTTCATTTATTTATGTTATTTTTAGTGATTTATATTACATTTTGACTGTCAACATTGCATACTTTACGCATTAAACCAGAAATATTGTAGCTACAGAATTACGAATTACCATAACTATGGTCATTTGTTTGATATCATAATAATATAAGATCAAACATAGGAGCTTGTAGTGTGTATTACTGCATTATGTAGAAGGGATAAGATGGGTCTTGCAATGACACACCTTCATTTACTCTAAAACACATTGGGCATCTCCATCTTCTGGAATCGGTGAAAGTCACAAAAGGATTGATATAAGTTCTACAGGAACGGCATCTTGTTATAACAGAGGAATGTATAACTGGAAGATTCTGTTGAAACACAACATTAAGACTTCTAATAAGTTTCTTTCCAAAGGCAACATGTATTCTAATCCTTATAATTTATTTATTCATGAAGTAGGGCTAGGAGATAAAAAAAAATGAGAACTGAACGAGGTTGAAAATTCTTAACCTGAATTTAATTTTAACCTATAACAGATATTCATGTACACTGTACATTCACAAGTACACAGACAGGTAAGCCTATTTTGTATTTATTTAAATCACAGTTTGAGTTATGTAATAATAATAATGATGATGATAATAATAATAATAATAATAATAAAAACAATAATAATAATAATACTTTAATTATCCTCTCCCCTCTTAGGGCTTTTCAGAGATAATGAAACAAGTAATTTTAAATGGAGCATAACATGATTAAGATTCCCAACTGGCCAGAGGCAAACCAGTTGGCTATTTACAAGCATAGCCGAGGATTTGAACTCAGGACTATGAGAGAACAAATCCAGCTAGCGGTCAGGAATGGACTTGAACCTTTTAACCTCAGGGCCTCTGAATTACAAGCCCACTGCACTAACCACTAAGCCATGCCACCTCGTTATAATTATGAAAATGCATTATTTCCCCCAGGAAGTTAAATATGTTTTTTTAAAATTCATAGGTTGTTGTAATCAAAGAACTTAAAAGATTCTGAAGGTACTTTATCCAACAAGTTACTATTTTGCTTGTGAAATTCTTCATATATTAGCAAAAAGTGTAAATTCATTTGCTGGTACAGTAATTCATAGCATTCCTTTCACTGTGGAACTGACCTGCAGATCCTTAAACGGATGAAGATGAATTCCTAATGGAAGCTTAGATTTTGTTAAAAGGCTTTTGGTTTCAGGAACAGCATTTAATGTACAGCAAAGTACACTATAAAATCAAACAAACAAAAAGAATGAGTCACAGTCTAAACAACAGACCAAAATGTCATAAGTACATGTACAGTGGATAGATAAGTCCTTAGTGACAATTCATTGCAGCAAGGCAGATTGACCAGTTGTACTTTTAATATTAAAGGAGTGCTATTATGTCCAAACACCCAGCCTAGGAAAGGTCATGTTGAATGAGGGTAAATCATGGGCTTCTGAACACATATGCCCTGATTTGATCTTGGACTACGTTGGACAAGGCACACCCTAATAATAATGATGTGTCTCAAATAAAAAGTTTCACATCTACCATTACCAGATCACCAAAAAAGCAAAACACAAAAGTAAGTATAGGTTAAAGAAAGCTCTGAAGACAGTGTATTTGTTATTGACAGCAAACTCCTCTCACTTGGTTTCCATAACAACATGAGAAGTAAGTGCAATCAAAAGAAAAAATGGATATTACCTTGGGTCACAGTTCTTCTTACGAATATCCTGAAACGACAAAAAAGGCATAGAAGAATTACATAATAGAAACCAACCCAACTAACAAATACAATGAAAACTTCGTTAACATTAGATTTTGAATGTTAATCATAAAAAGACATCCCTCTTGATTGTTGTATTTTCGACATATAAAACCTTTTCTGTGTTTGCATAGCTTGATATAAACATGAGAGGATGTTGGGAGAATTCAAAACAGATATGCAAACCCAAGTCAGAGTCAAGAAGGACATGTCTGCACACAAAAACCTTCTTATGTAACATTTTTCAGACAAAAAAAAGATAAGTCCAGTAACAACCTCATACATGTAATTTTAGATCACCAAAAGGCGACTTTGAAAAGCATAACCATTGAACTTGAAAAACTGCTGTTAATGGTACAGTATTTTTAATAAAGTCAATACCTCATAATAACGTTAACATTGCACTGATGCCAGCCTTTCTCTTTTTAAACAATATGCAGTTAAAAATCCTATGCAATATGCAGGTAGAAAGAACCATCCACTTACCTGTGGCAAGTTAGGTGTTGGGTGTTCAATTGGGGTTGTGGGAAGGACATGCCTCTGTTCCAGAAGATTGATAGGTTGAATGACAGATGACTGTTACAATGTGAAAAATCAAACAAACAAACAAATCAAACCAAATTAGCATGCAATTTCTGACCTTGAATAGTATGCCACTGTGAATAAAGTCCCATATAAATGTATATTAAAGGACAGTGTGATTAATGAAATGAATGTTGATTAAAAATTCATGGACATTGTATTTTAGTGTACTGCAGTTTATTATACATGCTGCAATAGATGATTTTTCACTTGAGTTTTAGAATTTGCTGATAAAACTGATCTGATTATCTTTGATAATGAAGCACTATTATTATTGCAGAGTATTCAATGTACCTGGACTGTAAGTCGCCCCATGGGACCTTCCAAACCCATTCCACCAGATGATGGAAACTGAGAGAGGCTTGGACCCTGAAAACAGAGTCATTAAATTTCATGAAACACTATATTTTTCTTATCATCTGCACTACAGGAAAAAAAACATGTCATAGTCAATTTAAAAAAAAATTTCTTTACGATACCAGTTTGTGAAATCTGTTGGGGAACAAATAAAGCAATTAAGATGTCAATACTACCCAATCAAATTGTAAAGTTCAATAGTGTCCCCAATTAGTGCTTTCGTGTCAAAAATACATTTACGTTCAAATAAAGCACTTTTTCTTACAGTTTTCTATTCAAAAAGCACTTACAGTAGGTTGCTGAGCCATAGCAGGCATCTGTCCAGGATAAGTCTGGCTTGTTTGACCAGGAACATTCATCATTCCAGCTGGAATACCAGGCATAGAGGGTGGTACAGACTAGGAGGAAAAACAATCACTATATCAAAAAAGCTTTTAAAATTATGACACATTTGGTATTAGAAAACTAAGAAATTTTGTTATTTGTATGTACATTTGTACTTGTACTGTGCTCTCTTTCATTTTTCTTTTCCATGTGTGAACTTACACCATTCTATCATTTTAAACTTGGAGTTACGTCTTGAAGATGTTCAAGTTAGAATAGAGGGTTTTCACATGACACCATATTGTTGTCCCAAAACAATGAAATGACAGCCATGTTGGTGTTCCAAACCAATCCTTTTTCTTATGTAAAAAATTTCTTTTGTTCCAATAAATTTANTCAAAAAGCACTTACAGTAGGTTGCTGAGCCATAGCAGGCATCTGTCCAGGATAAGTCTGGCTTGTTTGACCAGGAACATTCATCATTCCAGCTGGAATACCAGGCATAGAGGGTGGTACAGACTAGGAGGAAAAACAATCACTATATCAAAAAAGCTTTTAAAATTATGACACATTTGGTATTAGAAAACTAAGAAATTTTGTTATTTGTATGTACATTTGTACTTGTACTGTGCTCTCTTTCATTTTTCTTTTCCATGTGTGAACTTACACCATTCTATCATTTTAAACTTGGAGTTACGTCTTGAAGATGTTCAAGTTAGAATAGAGGGTTTTCACATGACACCATATTGTTGTCCCAAAACAATGAAATGACAGCCATGTTGGTGTTCCAAACCAATCCTTTTTCTTATGTAAAAAATTTCTTTTGTTCCAATAAATTTACATAACTTCTCACCACATGTGAAAAGGCTCTGTTGTATTAATAATCTTTTTTTTAAATTCCAGGTTAGTGGTGTAACTATTAATTGAATCCTTGATTAATCACCATTATGACCGTTCGGTTCGATTCACGATTCTTTGCTTACACATTTCGATTTTGGTTCAATTTTTGCATACCTTTTCCAGGGTGCCCTTAGTGAGTTATTATATTGTAAAATCAGAATCCAGATCACTTTAAAATGTGTGTTTCTGATAAACATGCAAAGATGATTGCAATTTGTGTGCCATTTTGTGTTGCCTGGTAACAAATGCTGTCCTTCAACCACCCCTTGAGAATTTCCAAATAAGGCAAACCATGTGCGACATGCTCTTTGTCAGGTTTTTAAACATGGCGACAAATAACCAAGCGACCGTGAATCCTCCTGTCCCTGTTACTATTCTCTAATTGAGGGTTTAGGGTTGCATGTTGTTTACATTACAAATTATGTTATAAGAATTGAGAAACAATTACGTAGTCAAATCGAAATAATCAAAATAATATTGAAAGGCAACAATCAAAATCAAATTGAATCACATGGAACATGAATCATTACACCCTTATTTGAGGTATACCTGAGCAGGATACATTCTTCGTCGTGAAGATATAGGCCTTGTCCCAGCTTGAGAGTCTTGTCCCATGGGGGGATAACCTGATGCTAGACCACTGTAAGAGGTTTGAGGCATGGCGGACCCCGGTAAATTTGATTGAGGAGGTGGAGTTGATCCCTGGGACACCAATGAACCAGGTGGACCTACAGGGGGAGGGGGAGTGGACCTTGGAGATGGGCTACTACGTTGTCCAGGATAACCTGTTCCTGAGTTGCCTGGCATGACAGGCCTCTTGGGTTTGTTAGAATGAAGAGCTGAAAATGATTGGGTTTCTTCGGGTGCAAATGTTTGGTTTCCCTGAGGAGACAGACCAGCTGTGTCTAAAGGTAAACCTCTAGCTTGTCCTGTGTAACTCGTTGTCTGCCCAAGTTGATCCTGATGCATGTTTGTCTGTCCCTGTACAGGAAATCCAGGCTGTTGTTGACCTGGGAGGGTTGATCCAGATGAGGAATGAGGCAATGGTTGGTTGGGATAAGAGGATGTTACAGGAGTAAACGCTGACCCAGCCTGAACGTTACTTGTGGGTGGGGAAACAAACTTACTGACAGGAGCTTGTGAGGAGAGCCCATTTACTAGTGCAGCCCCAGGTGACAAAGGTGCTGAAAGTCTCTGAGAAGCCTGTGTTGGAAAAGTTGATGGGTTTGTATTTGCAGTAGACCGCAGCTCCATTTGATGATGTCCCTGAGGTGATGGTGTGAACCCTGTAACTGGACCATTGACAACTGCTTGAGATGCAGGAGGTCGAGCAGCTGCTGAGGGGAAACCAGGAAGCCCTAAAACAACAGAAATTGGGGCAAAATATTGACAAAAACATCATTATAATTTAAGCAAGGTAAGAAAGAATAGCTGAATGAAAAAAATTGGGAGTATTTAACTCATTTTACAAAATTCAAAGTAACAAGTGGAACATTGTTAGTTTTTCATTCAAAATGATGACTGACCTCTAACCTGAAATAATCAAACATTTTGTACATATAATTTTTGGTTGTACAAAATTTCAAAACTCAAAAGGGANCAGGCTGTTGTTGACCTGGGAGGGTTGATCCAGATGAGGAATGAGGCAATGGTTGGTTGGGATAAGAGGATGTTACAGGAGTAAACGCTGACCCAGCCTGAACGTTACTTGTGGGTGGGGAAACAAACTTACTGACAGGAGCTTGTGAGGAGAGCCCATTTACTAGTGCAGCCCCAGGTGACAAAGGTGCTGAAAGTCTCTGAGAAGCCTGTGTTGGAAAAGTTGATGGGTTTGTATTTGCAGTAGACCGCAGCTCCATTTGATGATGTCCCTGAGGTGATGGTGTGAACCCTGTAACTGGACCATTGACAACTGCTTGAGATGCAGGAGGTCGAGCAGCTGCTGAGGGGAAACCAGGAAGCCCTAAAACAACAGAAATTGGGGCAAAATATTGACAAAAACATCATTATAATTTAAGCAAGGTAAGAAAGAATAGCTGAATGAAAAAAATTGGGAGTATTTAACTCATTTTACAAAATTCAAAGTAACAAGTGGAACATTGTTAGTTTTTCATTCAAAATGATGACTGACCTCTAACCTGAAATAATCAAACATTTTGTACATATAATTTTTGGTTGTACAAAATTTCAAAACTCAAAAGGGACACAAAAAAGGGAAGCTCTCCAACCTTTATATAGCTCTTTATGATTATTCACTATGGTAGAACGTAATATCCTTTAATACCCTGAGGGACACATCTATAACACTGCCACCTCTCTATCACAGATAGTTTTTCTGGTCCCAAAAATGCCGAAGTTCACACAATCGCTACCACTATAGAACCGGCACTTCTGCAAAGGGCTCTGCCCTTCGGTATCTACATTGAGGAGGTGTGACAATACTGTCTTTGTGAAGAGCTGGTTTACAGAAAGACATGCTTTACACAAACAAGTACATATAAAAAGATCTGTGTTTACTCACCAGATTGTTGATTGACTGGACTTCGCCTTGGTGGTGTGGCTGATGGAGATGGATTAAGGGAGGAGTTATTCATCAACTGAGGAGGTGCAGCTTGGTACATACGCTGCTGCTGTTGTTGTCCAGTTGGTGGTGAGCCTGGGTATCCTGAGAATCAAAGGAAATTGGATTTGTTCAAAAGAAGACAAAGATCATCCCTAGTGCCATCATGCGTAAGCGGTTGAACCCAAGGCGCTAGACACCCACTTTACACAGACAACATTCCAGCCAGAAAATTGAGCTTGAGAGCCAAAGTGGCCCCTACAACCCATTTTTGGGGGCCAGATATTTCAAGAAAGGGCCAACGTACCAGTATCTCTCTAATATGCAAAAGAGAAGAAGCAGTTGGAAAGTTAAGGAAATGAAAATGCCAGTTCATTTGAAGCTGACATGGAGCGTTCCTTTTTATACACAATAGAGGAAATCTTTGGTAATAAAGCAAACAGTACAATCAGAATGTACGCAATAAAAATAGTAAGTAATTTTTTTCATCTCATTTTCCACTTCACCATCAAGATCTGCTTTCATTCGCTTATTCTGAACTGCTTTGTCTCCATCCACTTTTTCGTTACTTCTGAGAAAAAACTTTTGATAGACCTCGAAAATGCGTTTGTCAGGTTTATCCTTTTTCAAGACGCCATGATGGATACCCATGAGCTTCTGCGATATTACAAAAGCCAAGTCAAGGCTTAGTGGTCTCCAGACCACTCACAGTAAATCAGGTAAACTCAAGAAGATTCATCGATTGATTTTCATGTTGTGTACAAAGGTAAAGGAGTCGTTTTTCTTTTGATTAAAAATTCTATTTAATTGGAAAATTATTGTAGTTGAAGTAACAGAGACCATTTTAAGCCCAGGCAATTAAAAAAGGAAAGGGCCATAATGGCCCTTGAACGCTTTTGGTGGGGGCCATCTCTCGATCTTTTGCGGGATTCATGCAACAGCGCACTCTGGCTGGAAAACTGCACAGACATGTTAAATTAGGAGCAGTTGCTTTGAATTAGGAGCAGTTGCTTTGTTGCCCAAATAGGTAACAATTATTCATAATTTATTATAATTTACTGTCTTTTGAAATAGCCATGTAATACAGATGTCCAAAAGGTCCATTTACATGTCAAAAGAGAAGGTATGTAGGGCTGTCAATAAGATTCGGGGGCCAGGGATTTCCCCTGGCTACTCTTCATGTGAGTGTTAGCAACCAAAGATACCTGTATGTTAGACCTCATCAGCAATGCAAAGCCAACAAACATGCACAAGCTCAGGATTTCTACAAAAGTTCAAGAGCCAGATGGTAAAGAAGTGTACCCCTGTTTCACAGCTAGCCAAGCCAAATAGTCCTGATACAGTTGTAGTTCTTTGGTGATAAGAGGTTAAGCTATCATTAACTATAATTTATCATCATGGCTTGTGATATTAATTTTCATGGCAGTGTATCACAGATGTACTTTTAGTCCTTGATTCAGTAGTAGGAACCAGAAGAAGGGACGCTTCCATCAAATGAAACTTTCCTGGTCACTTGAAAAGAACTTTTATTGTTTTGGTCTTAGGGACAATTAAAGCAACCTTGAAGTTGATTGCTAACAAAGTTTGAGCTTGTCAACTCAGAGCAGAGCTAGCTAAAAACAGTCACTATAGTGAGAATATGGAAGGAAAAAGTACCAGTTACCATGACAAACTGAAAAGTGGTCAAAGTGTGTGGTAGTTGATGATAGTCGATGACAGCTAATGGCCTAAAGGTTGTGCTAGTTGAAACTATAGTGGAATCCTGAATTTTCAAAGCACCCTGGGAAAGGTAAATTGGTTCAAATTATCAAGGGGTTTGAAAAATTGGGGGTAAAATTACAGTGTTTGACT